CCCATGGCAATCAAATTTTCAAAATCATCGCTCCCCCAAAACTGTTCCCTGAGTTCAATCAAAATCACTAAGGATCTCCATATTGCTAAATCCAGTGGCAGTTCTCAGTTCTTATCTTACCAGACTACAAACATTCCAAGTAATAAAGATAACGCTAATCACATATTAAGATAAAATTTCAATTAATAGAAAAGACTGTTAATGTTTAACTCCCTTGGACAAACATCATAATACCTTTACAGATAGTCAATATTATACTCCGATTTGTTCTTCTAAACAGTGTTATTCTTTTTGTTTTCACATATGTATTTGACCTTGTTTCTAATATGTTATCAGTACCTCTTTCCCATGTATGTTATCAGTATACATTTCCACTAACCTTTTTGGCATTTGCTAATTTGTTGTAAGATCCACATTTTCCCGACCTGCTAAGCATCGAATGTCTAATCTTCCATACCAGTGTCATGAAACCCTTCCCTTTCTACTTACCATTAGGCAAATCCTGGAGTGGGTCTTTGGTATGATCCGCTCTATAGAGGGGTCATGGGTTGGATTCCTGGTCGGGGCACATGCTTGGGTCGCAAGCCAGGTCCCCAGTGTGGGGCTATGTAAGAGGCAACCAAATATTGATGTTTTTCTCCCTCTCCTTGTCCCTCCTTTCCCCTCTCTAAAAATAAATAAATAAAATCTTTCTTAAAAATGAAGAAAAGAAAAAATGGCATTTTTCTGTTTGAAAAAATAAAAATACCTCCCAACAGCTGGAAAAAAAGTATTTGAAAAGCTCAATCGCAATAAAAATGCAAACGTAAGGGACAGGGTCCCTTTCTCACTTGAGATTGGAAAGGATTAAACGTTCGATAATAAAACATTTTGGTAAAAGTATGTAGAAACCAGCACACTTAAAGCTTGTTGGCTACTTATCTTGATTTTAGTCCTTGAGCGTGTAGTCAAAGACAAGGGTGCCGGCTCCAGTTATGCCAACTCAACGGCTAGGCTCAATTTCCTCAGAGAGAGAGAAAGATCATTTGAATTTAATCTCTGAAATCTATTTTTAACTCAGATGATTCAACTCTATCAATTAAGTCACAACGTCTAGAGCAATCCGGGAAGGGTACATTCACTCCAGAATAAGAAAGGCAGGAAATACCTGCACTTGAAAGTTTTCTGGGTTCCAAATATACCCTGGGTCCGAGCCAGGAGTGGTTTTCTGGATCTCGAACAAAACCGGACCGCAGGTCCTTCCACCGCTCACGCCTGCGCGGTGCGGGCGCCTGGCGGGAAACCCGGCTTCGCGGAGCCCCGCCGCCTTCGGGGTCCGACCGTTTCGCCCGAGCCGGGCCCGTCTCCCCCCACGAGGGCCGGGCTGGGGAGGCTGCGCGGGCGCGGCCTCGGGGCCACGCCTGGTCTGGCGGAACCGAGTGCCCGGTGCTCTTCGGCGGCCGCCGCGGAGTCTGGGAGCGCGATACTGCGATTCCGCGATACGCAGGCCGCAGCGCGCGCACCCGCCTGCAGCCACGGTCGGGATCAAGGTCGCAGACTTGTTGCTGGATGACTAACTGGTGCCACAGTTTGGAAATCGACACCCAAGGGGTTCTCCAGGGTGTCAGGGGACGGTGTGGTTAAGACCACCAACCCGATGAGCCCGAGCTGCGGAGGTTCCATCCCCGCCTGCAGCCTGGCCCCCGACCCGACCTCATCGCGCAGCTCTGATGCGCAAAGGCTGAGGCGGCCCCTTCGCCCTTCCCTCGTCTCGCCCAGCGGGCCAGCTCTGGAAAGACCCGCTCGCCCGACCTCAGCTGGAGCCACCCAGCTGGAACTTCGGCCCAATTTAACACTTTTGGTAAAAAAAAAAAAGTGACACGTTTCAACTGGAATTTAATTCCAAGTGCAGGTGGCTTTGTGAAGTTTGGAAGGAGGAAATCCTTTCAACCAAAGACCACTTCATCCAGCCAGCCGTCTAACAAATATTCTACGAGTTATCTACCGCCTCTGAACTCCCGATTTATCCTCAATACCTGCTTGGTGGTAATGGATACGATTCTTTTATATCATTCCTTCTTTAGAATGTTAAGCACAATGAAGTTTTCCCATTGGACGATGCTGAACCTTGTGGGAGGAAGGGAGGTTTCTCTTGCTGGTTCCAGTGGCTGCACCACAGGTGAAGATGACAGAACTTTGGGTGGTGCCCTCCCCAGCCATGCACCCAGAATGCAAGCTCCCTCAGACACCTCGCACAGCCCCAGCCTAGGACTGGCGATCACTTTATACGAGGCCCCAGGCTTCCCACCCGCATGGGTGCTCTAACTCATATGTGTAATTATCAGCTGTGGCTCCCCTGAAGGGGTCGGTCTTCTGCTTGTTTGGGGAATGCTCACTAGGTCTGGTTCATGCAGTGCAGCTAGTTTCTTTATCTAGTGGACGACAGCGATGCCTTTTCTAATCAGATCTGAACCCCTGCATTTGGGACCCCTTTCTACTTTGCTCTTACTTGGATACTCCCCTCAGCTCTTGGATGCCATATTGAGTTTTCTTACATCTTTTATATTTTACTTACTCTTTTTGTAGCTTGATATTCTTTATATTAAATGCTGTTTAAGATAATGTATGGTCTTTAAATCAATGTGCGATCTCTATCTTCAGATAGGAGCCAGACTGATACACTTTAATACATATCAACTAAATGTCAGGCAGTGTTGTAGGTATGAACAACACAAAGTACAGGCTTTTATGGAGCTTACGCTCTATCGAGGTTGTTAACCAAGACCTAACTCACAAGACAGAGAAACAGCCATGCAGAGTTTTGAGGCAGAATATTCTAAGCACAAAGGGACAAGTATAAAGACCTTAAGTAATAATGAACTTGATGTTTAAGAACTAGAAAGACCAGCGGGGCTAGACTTCAGTGAGCAAGGAGACTTTTCTGCTTATTTGTGGTGCCAGATATAAAAAATTATGCACAGACCTTTTTTTTTTTTGCTCATCAGTTTTCATGTTTGTATGTTTAATGTGTGGCCCGACAACTCTTCATCCAATGTGACCCGGAGATGCGAACCCCGGTAAGGGTTATGGTGGGAGTAAGGAAGGCTGTATGGAGCCCGTGCCCGAGCAGAGCGGAAGTAAGCGACCATTTAGGCTCTAGAAGGGTAGCTCAGTTGGTTAGACCATCATCCTAATGTGCCAAGATTGTGGGTTCTATCCCCCATCAGGGCACATATAAGAAATCAATACATAAATAGGTGGAACAACAAATCAATGTTTTTTTTTTCCTCTTGAATTAATAGCTTTAAAAAGCCCTGGCTGGTATGGCTTAGTGGATTCAATGACAGTCTGCAAACCAAGGAGTTGCTGGTTCGATTCCCAGTCAGGGTACATGCCTGGTTGTCGCCTGATTCCCAGTTGGGGGTGTGGGGGAGGCAACCACACATTGTTTCTCTTCCTTCTCCCTTCCCCTCTCACTAAATACAACCTTAAAAATAAATAAACAAAAGAAAGCAGCCATCCACTATCTTTAGGAAGTAGATGGAAACAGGGAAGGCGGTGTCAGGACTACGTAAGGCACAGAGATGTTAAACGTGTTGTAGTGGACGGCAGGTGTTTTCCTATGTAAAGGGGAACCACCCAATGATAAATCAAACTGAAAAGGCAGCAGAGCCTTGCCCTGGAGTGGTCGTGCCCACTACGGGGCTTAAGTTTGTTTTTTGTAGTTGACTGGAAGCTATTGAGAACTTTAAGTAGGATAGTGACATATACATTTATACGTGACATGAACATTCTAACATATTAGAGTAGGACTGATTCTCAATGATCAAAGACTGAAGGAGAAACAAAGTAGGAAAGTGCATAAGAGAAAAACAATTCTCACTGGGGAAAGAAAGCAAGGCAATTTAACTATTCAAAGCAATGCACTAAGATGTTTTCATTTCACCTGCATAACAAACAAGAACTGTTATTTTCATATGTCTGAGACTGTACTTGTAAGAAATTTACTCACCTGCCAGAATGATACTATCATTAAATCAACAAACAAGTGCTGGTGAGGATGTGGAAAAAAGGGAAAACTAGTGCACTGTTGGTGGGAATGCAGACTGGTGCAGCCACTGTGGGAAACAGTATAGAGTTTCCTCAAAAATAAACAAACAAACAAACAAACAAACAAATAAACAAATAAAGCCCTGACTGGTGTAGCTCAGTGAATTGAGCACAGGCCTGCGAACCAAAAGATCGCGGTTTGATTCCCTGTCAGGGCACATGCCTGGGTTGCAGGCCACTTCCCAGCAAGGGCCAATTCCCAGCAGGGGATGCACCAGAAGCAACCATACATTGATATTTCTCTCCTTCCCTCCCCCTCTAAAGATAAATAAATAAAATTTTTTAAAAAATTAAAAATGGACCTGCCTTTTAACCCAGTGATTCCACTGCTGGGAATTTATCCGAAGAAACTCAAAAAAACTAATGCTGGGATGGGAGTAAAAGACAGAATACTGTAGTTGAAAAATAATTAAAAAAAAAAAAAAAACCAAAAAACCTGTGGTACATTTACACAATGGAATACTACGCAGCTATAAAAAAGAAACTCTTACCTTTTCCAATAGCATAGACAGACCTGCAGATTACTACACTAAGTGAAATAAGCCAGTCTGAGAAAGAAAAATGACATATGATCTCACTTACTTGTGGAATCTAATGAACAAAATAAATTAGCAAACAAAATAGAAGCAGAGGCATGGATACACAGAACAGACTGACAGCTGTCAGAAGGGAGGGGTGCACTGGGTGGAAGGTGAAGGGATCAGCCAAAGAACATATATGCAAAATGCATGGACACAGACAACAGTGTGGCAATGGCCTGAAGGAGGGAGGGGCCAGGGCTGGGTGCAGGTGGGAAAGGAGGGAGAAGGAGGACAAATACAACAGGTACTGAATGACTAAAACAGGATATCAAGTGGATTTTGTTGTTAAAGGAAGGACAAAAACAAAACCAAGCCTGTGATATCATAATGTACATTCAGAATTTTTATTTCAAAACAAAAAACCACAGTAACATTAATAATATAAAACATTTAGAAATATTCACAATCTGGTCACTGAAAAATGGGAAAACTTCCACATAGCGTTACTGCCAACCCACAGTTTTTGAGGAGCTGAAAGCAGAGGTGAGGCTGAAGGAACGTCACCCGTCCCAGCAAAGCTCCACACCACAGCTCTGTGAGTTTTTATCCAGAGGCTCAATGACCCCGGGGAATGGCAAGAACCGAAAACTAAGATATTGTCATAGGCAAGGATTTGGCTAAAGGGCCTGAAATGTGTAAGCACCAAGGAGGGGAAGGGAGACCAAGCAACACACAAAAAAGGGAAGAGAGGGAATCGCTGGGGCCCTATCTCCACTTATAAAAACACTGGGAAACTAGATTGTGGAGGTGTCCATGACCTACAGCAAGTGCAAGCCTTCCAGATTTACAAGTCCCCAGAGTGTTTCTTATCCCCTTGAAAAGAATGCCTCCCTCTCCCCCCATGGCTTCCCTCTGGCTCCCCTAGTTTGCCACTTGTCCTGATCTCACACTCTCCTACTCCCACCTTCAGAATCTAGAGTGAGGCGGAGCTCCCTACATGTTAGGAATAAGCCACTGATGCAAACGCCGCCCAGCAGTGTTACTCAGACACATCCCATCCAAAGGGGGGCTATAGGAACGGAGGTTACAAGTTACCAGTAAACTGCTTCCACCCAGAGCAAAGTGACAGTGCACATACATTCATACTCTCAAGTGTGGGCCACACTGCACATTTACTCACACCATCTCACATGTGGTCTACGGGGAAGACTCGCGTGCTCCTAGGGCCCCTGACTTAATACTACGGTGACATGGTGACAAGAGTAACTTGACATGGTAACAGACATAAACAAACACGAGCTGCCCCCAAAGCAATAACATACTTCAACTAGGTAACAATCATTCAGGAAAAAACCTCTCCCAGGGCCAAGGCTGCAAATCCAGCTTAGCTACAAACACTTTCCTATGAATTCCTTTAAAGCTATGGCTTAAAACAAAACTTAAAAAAAATCTAAACCTCTAAAATCACCTAAAGAACAAAGTGGAGAAAAAAACAAACCTTTACCTAGAACCAATATTTTATGTTGCTCTTCCACCAGATGAGTGGTAGGAGCATTAAAAAAAAAAAAGGCTGAGTCCACCATAAAAGGAAGTTGTTTGCTCCAGTGAGGGGAGGAGAGGACTGATTTCCACAAACCACCTTCCCCTCTTGGGACACCATCCAAAATCAGAACCCATCAACCACCATCAACTACAATGCCCATCTTAGTAATAATACTAGATTTCAAGTAATACTACGTATAATCTTAAAGAAGAGGGTTCACAAGGAACCAGTAGCTTCTTTACAAGGAAACCAGTAGCTTCTTTATACAGGCACGTGACTTCGAAAAACTGAACTTGAGACATTCCATCTGAAGGACAGACACTGTCAAGAGGCAACATGCAAACCTCACACGCCCCATCATATACTCTCCAATAACACATTAGATTTCTGCCTAAATTCTTCCCTTATTAAACTATAACCTCTCCAGTATCAAAACTTCCACCCCATAAACTCTTTGAACACCTCCCTCTAACCTCTATTTCCTTATGTTTTCATTATTTGGTAAAATTACACTTAAAAAAATAAATATTTATGCAGTAAAACCAGAAGATAAAATAAATACAACTCAAATCGATTTGCTCTGCAGCACTGTATGGAAGTGAGGCAGGTGCTCGTATGTAAACCCTCTCTGCCTCCCACACACTCCAGTGATCTGTTTCCTGGTGAGTCTGAGGTGGGGGGATCTCTCTCCCCTACATGCCTGGATGAAGCAAATATTAGAACTTAAGGGAGGAAGAGCTGGCAAAGCTATCAAATGCCAAGTAGCCAGTCCCTCCTGAAATGAAGGTAGGTTCACTTGGTCTCTCCTAAACAGAAGAGAATGTCCAAGAAATGAAATGTTTAAAAAGCCATTGAAGATACAACTAACCCCAGCATTGGGATCCTCTGAGTGCTCATGGAGTGTGGGCTGACAAAAGAATCAAGTAGCAGCATTCAGAAACAGTCCTGGGTTACAACCTGATGCGGTCTCTCCGCCACTCGGGGAGAGGTTGCTTTCACGTTGGGAGGGAGGTGGGAAGGAAGAATGGCTTAGACATTGGTGGTGGCCTCCTTATCCCCGTGGTGGCCCTTCTCAGCTCGGTGAGCCTCCATCGGGTGCCCTTCAAAGCCTCGTGTAATTTCCTCAAAAGTCCTGCCACGAGTCTCAGGGACTTTGAAGAAGGTGAAGACCAAGAAGATCACAAGGAAGCCGGTGAAGACCACAAAAACGTAGGCTCCTAAATAGAACTATAAAAAGAATACAGAGAAAGGAGTGTTGATATATAAAAATCCGGTTGGCCACTGACAAACTCCATTTCCTTCACATCCACATTTCCAACAGACTGCGAGCCCTAACCCTCTCACAATTAATGAAAACGGTAACATTTCTCCAGACTCATCTAGGATGCCATTGCTAACCTACTGTATTTCTCTGCTATTCTGTGTCACTCCTTCTCCTAGTCATTTAAGTTAGCTGCTTCTAAATACCTATTGAGTATTTCAGGATTTTTTGATTATCACTGTTAAAATCTAGGCTAATACAAAATGCAAATGCATTGTAGATGTCTACTGCAAGTTCTTTGATCAAAGTCAGACCCACCTCCTTCGTTAACACCCTTTACTTAGTGAGCCTTTAAGATCACCAAGCCAAAATGCTAATTCAAATGATGGATTTTAAGTATTGGTTTGAAATCCTCTGAGGCTGGGCTTATTACTACCATTCTCTTTCTAGGTAGAACTATGCTTATATCATTTCAGACCAGTGGTCTTTTAAAAATTCCCAGTTTTATGCTCCTGCTTCAATCTTTTCTGCTGTCAGTCCTTTTTCTGTTTGTCAAAGCTCTTGAAATAGGATCCTTCATGGTGCCAGTAATCATATTGTAAACAAGGCTTAAGTGGATTGGGTGAGTTTTGCTTTAATCTACTTACAGCAGCTGAAGGGAAGAGCAGTCCAACCAAAAAGTTGGAGGTCCAGTTGGAACAGCCAGCCACTGCCATAGCAGCTGGGCGGGGTCCCTGGCTGAAGAGTTCGGCCACAATAAACCAGGGAATGGGGCCCGGGCCAATTTCAAAGAAGGCCACGAAGAGCAAGATTGCCCCAATGCAGATAAAGCTCATCCAGTTGTACTCATCCTACATGAGGAAGGAATAGAGGAACATTAACATTAACGTTAAAGATAGCGGGACCCGGGCAGGACCCAGCCTCCCAGAGACGAGCATGAACTAATACTGAAAAGCCTCTTCTGTCCTGTGGTGTGTAATGGAGTTACTGGACTTAGAGTGAAAACTTCAAGATTTTTGAATCCTAGTTGTGTGACCACACATATAATCATTTCTCCTGAGATCATTTCGTCAGTTGTAAAATAGAAATAATTGCCTCAAGATTATTTTAAGAATTAAAATAATATAATGTATTTTACAAGCTAGATGCTATATATTAGATGTAAGGATTATAGCAATTTAATTACCTGTCTGTGGTGACCTACTTTTCTTAAAACTGTGGGAATGCTGCTTCTCCCAAATTTGACTTTATCCATCTCCAGCCTGAACTACTCACCCTGATCCCAGCGACTCAACTGCAGCCTCTCCTTTCCCCCGCCTCCCTCGTCCTCACTCAAAGAGCACTCACCTTTAACAACAGGGAAATAGTCATGAAGATGGAGGAAACCGCCATCCCCCCAAGGCCAGTCATATGCAGAGTTCTTCTTCCTGCCCTTTCCACCAGAAACAGCTGAAAGAAGAACGAGACGTGATGCTTCTGCTTTCCTGTTCCTGAAAACTGTATGAGCCACCTGAATCTGCCTTAACAATAACAGGGTACTTGTTGTACTCCCCCTCTTCCAGTTCAGAGTTTAATAGACCCTATCTAGGGTTGTCTAACAACCTCTTCCCCGGCCATTCTACAGGTGCCTGAAAAAAGTGAAGGCTACTTACACCTGTCACTCAGTATCTCTTTGTCCCTCAAAGAGGAATTCAGTAACAGAGGGTTTAAATACTGGTAGGGAAGTGGAGGTACATGCCACCCATCTCTGAACACATGTAGCAAGAATCCCTCCCCCCCCCGAAGCCCCGTCCTCCGAAGATGATCAAACCATCCGACTTACAGACACTACAGTGAAGATGGTATTAACCACACCAGCACCAATGGTGGCATAGATTGGCTCCTCGACACCTGCATCTTTGAAGATTCCCGTTGAGTAATAGAACACCTAGGAATAAACAAAAGAAGATGCAATTTACTATTTAGAGTATCAACTGTGTTTTGAAAAATGCTTCACAACAAAATGATTTAATCGTATCAATCAAAGGCTGATGAGGAACCATCATGGCACGAAGTCACTATTTACAGAATATTGTATCTGCAAATGCATAGAAGGTGTGGTAATATCATCTCTTCCCACAATCACGACTTAAAAGCAGGCAGCTGATATTAGCGTATAGAACATAAAGACTACCTGCCAATTACTAGCTTCCCATTTTGTCCCCACTAAACTCTCAAGTATCCTAGTCGTAAAAAAATATACAGACAGGCAAGGCCACTCAGTATGAAGTTGCCAGTGTGCCCCCACACCGTTTGATTTCCTACATGTCCCCCAGGGCTTTACAATGATTCTAGAAAGTAAAGTCCTAGAGAAAAGCGATGGCATATAAATTCTTGAATATCTACTTCGGTTGTATGGCTTACAGTATCACTGATAACATCATACGAGATGGATCAAAGTTAAAAAGGGCTGGAAATAAAAAATAAGTGGTCAAGAAAATTTCTGTTGCCCTATTTATTGAAAAAAGTCTAGAAGAGGACAAATGTTTACTGTCCATTCCAAGACTAATTGGTGACACATTTTTTCATTTTTATTTATTTCCTCATTCTTCCGCATGGCAAACGCTGTAAATTATAATTTTAAGAAATAAAACCAACAGCAAATCAACACCTGGATCACCAACATTTCTGGAGCGGCTGCTGCACGGCTGCCTCTCTGTATAAGAAGGTGAGCTCTTTACCCCTGGGTCTCGTATTTTCAGTGAGATACCGTAGGATGCCTGGGACACACAGGCCGATACTCACAGCATTGATTCCGGAGAGCTGCTGAGAGAGCTGGAGCATGATGGAAATCATGATGGGCTGTTGGTAGCTCCGCACTCTGAAGAGCTCCAGCACAGTGACTTGCTTTTCTTGGGCCATCCGGGCACTCTCATCTTTCATCTCCTGGATGTCCTGAGTCACATCCTGTGTGCCCCACAACCGCTGGAGGACTGGTGAAGAGAACGAAGAGGAAAGGATCAAGATACGGTGCTGCTCCCAATCCACCTTTCCCATGAGACAGCGAGGGAGAAGCCATCAGAGATGAGCCCTGCGTACGGCAATTCAAACCAGTGCCTTACTTCTCACTCCATTTTTTTCCTAAAATCCTAACACAAGGATATGTTTGTTGATTTTAGAGAGAGAGAGAAACATCAATCAGTTGCTTCTTGTACATGCCCTAACTGGGGATTGAACACACCACCTTTTGGTGCAGGGAATGACATTCCAAACAAGCAGCCAGGGCTCCTTACCCCCTTCTTTAGGGGTTGAAAGCTCCTAATTAAATGGTAATCAGAAAACTCTTCACTTGGGTTCTGAGGGTCAGAGAAAGGAAACAGATCCAATATTTTTGTCCTAAAATAAACCACAACCCTACAGTTCCTATAGTGAAGGTGTGAAGGATACTCACTCTTCTTAGCACTATCCTCTTCCTTTTTGTTAATTAGCAAGAACCTAGGACTCTCTGGGCAAAATGGAAGGGCTATGCTTTGCAGGAGAGCCGGGAGGATGGTGAAGCCCAACAGCACAGGCCAAAGCTCTTCGGTCCCCAAGATGACGTTCAGGCCAAAGATCTAGAAACCAGACGAAGATAATACTATAAATACCATACTTTACAGGCCACAAGTTGATTAAGAAAAACAAAAAAGTTCATAAAACCATCCATTCTTTTACCACAGAAAAAGATAAATGTTTCTTTTCCTTTTCTACCCTGTCTGCTTTTTTAGCTATCTGTGAGCTACAATAATAATATCTGAAACTTACATATAGTTGACTATGTACCAGAAATTCTTTTGAGTAATTTATGTTAACTCTTTTAATAAACCTTGAAACTAACATTCATTAAGTTTAAGTTCTAGAGTACCTGGGCCACCAGAATCCCGATGACGATGCCCAGCTGGTTGAGAGTGCCAAAGGCCCCCCGCAGGGCAGTGGGAGATACCTCTCCAATGTACATGGGCACAAAACCTGTGCAGAGTCCGCAGAAGAGGCCAATAATCAGCCGGCCCAGGATCAGCATCACAACTGACTGGGCTAACTTGCAGAATCCCATAAGGCAGCCACCAATGATTGCCAATAGATTGACAATAAGCATTGAATTGCGCCTGCAAGTTTAAACAAAGACAAGTAATGTTAGCAAAACAATCCTTATCTTTCCCCTTCTTTCCTTATTATACTGTTCCCCAAGCTCATACATAGCTTCTTGTGGTTTAATTTTTCCACATTCCATCATGAAAACATTTCTACTTGGGAACCAGAATTAAAAGTTCTTATATCTCTATTTGCAAAAAAAACTAACCTAGAGAAAACCACTGCCACAGGCAATGGTGACACGTATGGCTGGTCCATGAACATACTCAAGTGATATTTTTGAGCCAATGCTTCCAACTACATCTAGTGGTAAAGTACTTCCTTAGATACATCAGCAACATGCTAATAACAACAGATTATTTCAGACAGGTTTTCCCGTATCACAAAAAACTTTCCATATCACATATGCAAAAAGCAGTCAGCTTCAACTCTCCTCTAGGCTGGATTGTGGTGATATCAAGAACAATCAGTACTGATAACCAGTATCTAGTAATAAATTACTGCATTTATGTAGCTTTTATGTACTAAAAGTGTGACAGGCAGAGCCACCAAAACAGCTGATAGGAGACTGAAATAAAAGACTAACACTGCAAACTTCCTGAAGCTGTTGGGCAGAACCGGCACCATGGTACTTTAACGATGACTCTAGGCTGGCCCATTGAAATTACGTGGGAAGCTTTGAAAAATATGGATATACAGGTTCAGGCCCGCCACTGGGACTTATTTAATTTTTTTAAAGAAATTTATTTATTTTTTAGAGAGGAAGAGAGAAAGGCAGAAAGAAAACACCAACTGCTGCCTCTCACAGGTCCCCAACTGGGGACGTGGCCTGAAACCCTGGCTTGTGCCCTGACCTGGGATTAAATCTATGATCCTTCAGTTTGCAGGCCAGCACTCAAACAGCAGCCAGGGCTGGCACCGGGACTTCTAAAAGCTCCCCGGGAGACACTAAGAGGTCAAGCCACGGTAGAGAGCCCTTTTAGAGGAAAATCTCACCCCCCATCCCCAGTTTCGCTCATCTCTGCATTCCTTTCCCGTCCCCTCCCTCCTCTGCTGGTTTCTGTTACTGATAAAAGAAAGAAGCCATGTTACTTCTGGGAAACCCATGTTAATTTTAATAACTTTAGCAGACAAAAATTGTAAGGTCTCTAAAACAAAAATCAAACAAAAACCAAACATTATCAAATAAAATAGTTTCCTTGCATTTTCGCAGGGTGGGGGATCAAACCACCATTTCACTGAGGGGGTGGTCTTAGGGGTGGGTCGCAGCACTGGCAGGACCACGAGGTTACTTGTCATCTCCCCAGCCTCACAGCCTCCGAAAAGTGCTTTCATTTTTTTAAAAAGAAACCTTGAATTCCATTGACATTTTCAGAACAGATAATGAGCAAACAAAATGGTTCTTCTACCAGTCATTATTGAAAGCATTCTACCCTCTAAGACACTGATTAAGCTGGCATAAAGTGAAAAGATACAATTTCCTCTTTTCAGGGAAAAAGACTTCAGTTTAGTTATTTGGCCATTATCCACATTTGCCAAAGACTAAGGAATACAAATTTTTTCCTACCTATCTTTCTGTGTAAAGTAATACAAAATTTGCATAAAGCTGCAAAATTTTTAAGAAAAGTAAACAACCGACCTTATAAATAAAGTACATTTCTGGGAAACTCCATTGTGAACTTTACTGGACTAGATTTCCCTTGATCAGAAACTGAGGTGCTCTCACTCCAATACATCCTCACCATCCCATCTTAGTTCTCACTACCTGTCCTCAGTACAACCACAATAACCCCCCTTTTTCCCTGCCCCGTTTCTGATCAATACCTGCCAAAGCGGTTGACGAAGAGTCCAACGGAAAAGGATCCAATCATCCCACCAACGGAGAAGATGGCCACTGACAAGGACCAGAGGGACGTTAGCAGCTCCTCACTGGGAGGGTTTTCTAAGCCCTCTTCCAAAGTGTAATTGATAAAGTCCTTTATGATCTGCAAATTAAAGTGGGTGATGGGAGGGCAGACTGTTACAGCCGGATGAGAAAAGAGACAAACACGGGGGGGGGGGTCTTCCCTTCCCTAGGAGAACATTCCAATGACTATTTTCCAAGGGGATGACTAGCTGGGGATGGGAGAGAGGTAACACTGGAGTTAATATTACTCTGAAAGCCCAATTTTTTATTTGTTCTGAAAATCCCAGCAGGTAGTAGCAGCACTGATTTCAGTGAGTACCTCTGTGCTCTCTTAAGAGCCCTCTCTTTCCCCTGTAACCAACTGGAAGGGGAACTACATTACCATAGGGTGAGAGGAAGAATGGGCACAGTGCAGGATATAGGGAGCAATGAACTTTTGGTTTAATGATTCAAGTAGACTTCCCACCAATATTATTCCCCCTCTTCAGTGTTAACCAGACTAGATATCAAGTTCATCTGACATTCTTGAGACCCTACTTAAAGGAATAACTCCCCTTTTCCAAACCCTAACTCAAGTTGCCTGGTACTCACAGTTTCCGGAGCATTGATAACGCCGGTGTTGTAGCCAAATTGGAAAGAGCCTATGGTAGCCACGGTGATGGCAAAGATCAGAGGAGCAGTGACCTGGGGGTGGGAGGGGGAGGGGAGAAACAGTTGGTAACTTGATAATTGTCTCTTCCCAATTAAGGAGATGTATTAAGATAACGACCTGGGAGTAGTGCGGAAGATCAAAACTTAATGAGATTTAAGCCATGAATGGGGAACACAAAAGAACAGGTTATCAGTGAAGACCTTACTTGGAAATACATGAACAGGCATATACAGTAAAATTGGGAAGTTGGGAAGGAAAAAGTTTAAGAGGTACTGAGTTAGTCGGTCTGGAATCCAAAAAACAAACAGAATTGTATTGAGGAATTAAAGAATTTAGGAAGAAAAGACAGATTAGAATTCCTAAGAAGAGATTATTTTGGAAATGGCTACATCCAGTGCAGTCTCACTGGTGCCCTAGATTCCAGGTGCCCCAGAGTGGTAGTGGCAGTGGTGCCAGAATGCCTTCACCAATGAGCCGCTTTTCTCTCTCTGTCATGCAACCTACAGTGTCTGCCCATTGTGTCCTGGCCCCACTGAAATTCTTCCAGTTTACTTAACACTGTACTGCTATCCGTCACCCAGCAGGGGGAGACCACGAGTTCCCTCCCAACCCAACATAGGGGAGACATATTTGGGGGGAAGGAGACAGAAATCACCCCAGTCTTCTCTCAGCTTGCCAGAAATACTTCAAGTTGGTGTTATCTTAGATTTCCATGTCAAAGAAGGCCCAATATTTATGCCCGGGGCCATCTTTCACACCACCGCCCATTCATCAAATTCTTTCTCCAGTGGGACTAGTGGCAGGCTGAGGATTTCAGCTCCCAAAATTGACCTTGCTTCCCAGGCGACTAGGTATAGGGGTACCTGAGCCCCCCTGCCAGTGCCCAGCTCTTTCTGTTCAATCCTTTTCCTTCTAGTAAAAACCTTTCCCTCCTCATCGTACTACCCTTGAGAGCCTTTTCTTCTTCCTTCCCATTTTTTATCCCTTTTCTTACCTTCGTTTGTTTTCAAATAAATTTACCTTAGTGAAAATGCCTTTCTCCCTACCTAGGTCACAATAATATATTACTATATCACGATCTCACCATCATAACCACAATGGGAAGGACAACAGGAATTCTCTCTTAGTATCCAGGGGACCTCATAGGTCATATAGCAAACAGAGGGCTGGACACCAGGACCCCAAACAAATCTCAGGTCTTTTCAAGGTCTAATGATTCCAGAGAAAACCAGGTCCCACACTCCTATATAGCGGCCCCTGGTCCCCCGTACACTCGCTCAACCGGTTCAACCTCCGTAGGGTGTAATTATGTAAAATAAACCTGAGAAACGAACACACTTTCCCCTAAGACAGGAAGGTGATGGAATTAGAGTAAATCCCTTCTAAGGTATGACATCCAAAGAGCATCGGCGGAACGGGCACAGCAGGCTGGAGGAGAAACGCAAAGGCCTGCCTGCCGATGGCTGAGTGACTTAGAATAAAATAGAGCAGAGCAATCACTGTTACGGTTCGCCTTTGAGAGCGCACCCCAAATGCGCAAAAATAACTGGTAATGGCATTATCCTTACCTTCTGGGTACCCATGGCCCTAACTTAATTCTTTTCAAGTCTTCAGGAGAGATCTAGAAGTGGAATTCCAGAGACACCTCTTCCAGCCAACAAATCCTTCAAAGAAGTCCTTCTTTTCAGGTCTCCAGTGATGCTCTACATCCAACCGCCAACTCTTACTCAACATCCAAGAGCGCACCCAGCACCTATTTATAATCCCCGCATAGGGTGGAGCCAGGGTGGGAGCCAAGCCCCCAGCCCCACCCTAGAACCGCCCACCAAATATTCCCCTGATCTCTCGGAATTTTTGTAACACTCGGGCAGCCCCACGCTAGGCAACAACTCCCTCCCCTTTTAAAACCACATCCTTCTCAACGTCGTGTTGTTTTTTTTTTTTCCTTTCTAAAGCTCGTCCTCCTTCCTTTTTCTAAAGCAGCCTCTTAGTTTCACAGACAAAATGCTTCTAGAAAAGCCTGGAGGGAGGGCAAATTCACTTTATTTTTTGCTCTCATATCTGCTAAGAATTAAATCAATCTTTAAGGAGAGGAGAATAAATGCTATCTATTAAGGCCAGGTCGAGTGGGTGCTGCTATCTGAGATTTAAGGTTGTTTGAAGGAGTGTAAGCAGAATTCAGGATCCTATGAATTAATTTATCAGCTGCTTTTTGATTGTCAACTGGTTCTACAGGCTTGAAGGAGAGCAAAGGACAGTCGGGGGAAGAAAAGGGAGGGGAGAACTGGGACAATCTGTGGCTCTACTTGTTCTCTGATTGGCATAATTGCTCCAAATAGAAAGGAAATATCCAGAAGCCAGACCAACTCCTCTAAGCTGCAGGAAGGAGAGAATCAACTGCCTAAGCGATAGGATCCAAACTCTTTAATATTGCATCTACCAAACACCCATTGTGAATTCTACCCTTTCTGCAAGTTTGCCTCTAGTCTCAAGAGTACAGCATCTAGAGATGGGACCATGATCAAACTCAGTCAAACAGGTATTTGCAGAACACCTAGTGTGTATCAGCCACCCTCCAGGAGTTAGGGATTCATCAGTTTATAAGACAAGAAAGTCTTGGCCTTTAAGGAATTTATAGCATTTCCCTTCCTCACTAAAAAAAGTGGGGAAGGGCTCATGGTGGGGGGGGGGAACAAAGTTAGTTCTTACACAACTGGAGAGAATTATCAATATGTTATTAATTATAGACTGAATTTTTGAAAGAAAGTATGAGATAAATATCTCATACTAAGCTAATCAAAAAATTGAGCAGATCAGTAGAAAAAAACAGGTAAGAAAAAATGTGAAGGGAGAAAAATGAAGGATGACAAAAGGAGAGAGAAGAGGCTCCAGTGTGTGAGTAAACAAGGCGAAGCAAACTCGTTGTAGCTAGAGAGTTGGGTAAACTGGAGATAAAATCAGGGATTTGAGGGAGGGAAAACATCACTGGTCAAACTTCTAATGCCCGTAATTTGTAACCCAGCAACCCCTTGAGTTGGGGGCAGAGGGTGTTGAGGGAAGCACAATAAATGGACAGAACTTTTCTAGGTAAAGCAGGGGAAGTGTATATATTACTTTGGGGTTTTGATTAAGGTCCTAGAATACAAACTGAAATGACTGGACCTGAAACAAACCAGATTATTTTGTCTCCTTTCCCTAAAACAGGATATTTGCTTAAGCTGAGAACTATCCAAGGAAATCTTCCCTAAGGGCACACCTCCCCTCCCCCATCTCATCCTGTCTTCCAGGAAACACGGAGCCTGAAGGCCCCTTCAGTTACTACAGCAACTGAGTTAGCAGCCAAAGGACAAAAAACACCCGGTATTTCATCGCCGTTTAACAGAAATATAATTGGAGCCACTTATGTAATATTACATTTCCCAGTAGCCACATTAAAAATTTAAAAAGAAACAAGAGAAATGAACCTTAATTTCTAATACTAATTTAATATCATTTCAGCATGTAATCAATATAAAAATTAATTCATTTTTTTCTGCTAAGTCTTCAGAATTCGGTGTCTATTTTACATTTGCAACGCATCTCCATTGTAGACTCTAAGTTTCCCACAGTTAAACTAATAGATTGTTCTATCAAAAAAATAAATAAAGTTGTGTATGATAGGAAAACATTTAAAATTGCCTCAGTTTTAAAATAATTAAAATTAGCCATTCCTTCCTTAGTTGCACTGGCCACATGTAAATGCTGCACAGCCACAACTCTGCAGCTGACAACAAGACAACCACAGTGTCCTCTTTCCTCTGGTCTTTTCTTTTTTATCTCTGGCTTTATTATTTGACTCACAAATGTCATTCTTGATTCTATAATCACTTTGTCTGCTCTTTTTCCCTCTCCCGAGCCTTAGAATAAGAATCCTTTAATGCTTTCTGAGAGCAAATGGCATCAGTAAAACGAAAAGTAGGTGTCTGTCTTACCCCTTTCATTTACTCAGAGCAGGCTCCAATCTAATTGAGAACACAGTGATTGTTCCAGTAATTATTTGCCCAGTATTTATTGAAAGAGTGAATGATGTATTTGTGAAGGCCCAGGATTATGACTGTCCCCAAGTAGTCTGTATAAAACCAGTATGACATCTGTAGAATAATTTTCTTCTTGGTAAAAAGGAGGGAGAGTGAAAGGAAGATCTGAAACCTGTTTGTTTTCTCTGTGGAAACTCAGTCTGAGTGAATTGCCCTTTTTTTTTTGAGAGAGAGAGAGGGAGGGAAATACTGATGTGCCAGAGATAAATGGATCAGTTGCCTTTTGCATGCCCCCAACTGGGGACCCGGCCTACAACGCAGGCACGTACACTGACTGGGAATTGAACCGGCAGCCTTTCAGTTTGCAGGCTGTTGCTCAAGCCACTGAGTCACACCAGCTGGTGTATGAATGAATTACCTTAAAAAATGCCAGCTACGAATTTTTGATAGAGAAAGAATACTTGTAGCAATATATATTTGAAAGGTTTTAAGTGGAATTCAACTGAAATCTCAAGAATATAGAAGTACACTAAATATATGGAGATAAAGTCTTCGCAAACAAGTGAGATCTAATCTCCTGATGCTCCAAAACCAGTTCAGTAGATAGGCCCAAATTAGGCAAACCTTGCCTCGGGCAACAGATAATACGTGCTCGCTCGAAACTGCAGTTTGACGCTGTGTTTGGGGGGGATTGGTGGACTGATTGGGGTTTTGGGTGCACTTTGGGAGCAGGTACCACTGGATTTCAAGTTCCACCCACTCAGGAGTCACAGCTCTGGTGACTGATCTAGAGGAAGTATGTTAGAGTAGGTGAGCAAGGTAAATGTCCTAAAATGTGTAGCCTGTGTCATTTGATTCATGTGAGAAGTTCTTCCATTTCTATTGAAAACAAAAGAAGAGGAAATGTGGTAGATAAATTTCAAAATGCAGTAAGTTAGGGAGGGATGTTATGAAATCTCTACCTGGTAGTGTAATGCTGGGCTGCAGAGGATGAAGCGAATGACTGGACTTACGGCCTGAAATTCCTGAGACCAAATCTGGGTACCTGCAGACAGAAACCTTAACCGTCACCTCTGTGGGAGGATGCGTCCCGGTGTGATAACCAAGCGGGAAAACAAACCAAAACCCTGAAGTCGGGGAGTACTCCGGGGCTTTAACCACTTGAGGACAAAGGCAGGGAAAACTGCCTGTGTCACAGAACAATGAAAATGGCATTTCAAGGCACACAGAAAGCTGGTGACTGTTCTAAAGCCTGCCAAGGTCACTACCACTCAGCGCTTGCATCGGCAGTATTTCTCATAAGAAACCCCTTTTGTTTCAGCAGACCATTTTTAATCTTCCTTTAGTACTTTAAACGTAGCAAAGTTCATTTTGAATCTGAAAATACCTTAGAAAATACCCACCCAGGGTAGAGAAAACAAAAAGAAATGTTGATCTTCCTGTCTAAAATGGGCTTCAGTAATTCATCACTCCAACTGCCCTAAGGGATCTAATCTCAGCTCCCAGACCCTTATCACTTTCTAAGGGGTCTCCGCTCCGCCAGTCCCTTCAAAACTTAATACATCACATACCAGTGCTAGATGCACTAGCCTAAGTTAAACTTTTTAAAAATATATTTTATTTATTTATTTTTAGAGAGAAGGGAAGGGAAGGAGAAAGCGTGGGAGAGAAACATCAATGTGTGGTTACCTCTCATGTGCCCCCTACTGGGGACCTGGCCTGTAACCCAGGCATGTGCCCTGACTGGGAATCAAACCAGCAACCCTTTGCTTCACAGGTCCGTGCTCAATCCACTGAGCTATACCAGCTAGTGCCTAAATTAAATTTGTAATCATGTCAATACCTATGCAAATATCCTCAATGGTTATTGAATAAAGTCAAGATCAGTGCTGCCCAATAGAAACATGTAAGTCATACATGAGATCAAAAAATTTCCAGTAGCCACATTAAAAAAATAACAAACACAAACAAGGTGTTAATTTGAACATATTTTATTTAACTTACTTTACCCAGTTTTCTCATTTCAACATGTAACTAACATAAAAATTATTATTTTTTAAAAATAAATTTTATTTATCTTTTTTTAGAGGGGAACGGAAGGAGAGAGGGAGAGAAACATCAATGTATGGTTGCCTCTTGTGAGTCCACTGCTGGGAACTGGCCTGCAACCCAGGCATGTGTCCTGACTGGGAATCAAACTTGCCACCTTTTGGTTTGCAGGCTGGTACTCAGTCCACTGAGCCACACCAGCCAGGGTTCATTTTATGCTTTTAAGTCTGTTTGTCAATTCCAAATAATTATTATTTTTTGGATCAAGTATTCTTTAATACTTGGCAGAGATTAAATTAATTTACCAGACCATAGCATTGTATGAATTATATTTATTGTTAACAGTTGATAATATGTCAGAATATACTCTAAACAGTATCTACAAAGAAAACGAGGTCTCTCTAGTTGATAAAGATCTGAAGAAAAAGGAAGAACCAGGTTACCAAGAAGGGAAGTGAGTGTCTATGTCATAATTCAAACTAAAAAGAACTGCTACTTTATATAGCACCTGCACACAATCCAGCCCCAAACTCCCCACGTACCAAACGAACTCTGAAAAGCAACACAGACATATCTTTGGATTATCTTTATAGACTCCTTCCAGTGTTTTCTTAACTGGTCTTTCGGGAGTAGAGAAAGAGGTGACACTCGTTCCTTGCAGAGCATCTCAGCGCTTTCCTAAACCGATCAACCACCACTAAAGCAGAAGCTTCCTCTCTGACACCTCCCGCTACTGATCACACACTTGCCCTGGGCGGGGCACAAATATCTTCCTCACTCGCCCACTACTTGTCCTTTCTAACACCCAGCAGAGGC